AAAATACCAAATATCGGGAGGTACGGTTATATGGGGGCTATACGAAGACGTGGACATGCACAGACCATTTTCTGTCCTAGGCTGTAGTATCCATTATGAACTTCAAATACCAAATTGGAAAAAAATCCGGTGAATAATGTCGCTAAAATCGTCAAAATACCAAATATCGGGAGGTACCATTATACGGGGGCTATACGAAGACGTGGACCTGCACAGACAATTTTCTGTCATAGGCTGCAGTATCCATTACAAACTTCAAATACCAAATTTGAAACAATTGCGTTGAATAATGTCGCTAAAATCACCAAAAAGGCGAATATAGGAAGGTACCGTTATATGGGGGCTATACGAAGACGTGAACCTGCACAGACAATTTTCTGTCTTAGGCTGTAGTATCCATAACGAACTTCAAATACCAAATTTGAAACAATTCCGGCGAATAAAGTCGCTAAAATTATCAAAAAACGAAATATAGGAAGGTACCATTATATGGGGGCTATACCAAAACGTGGACCTGCACAGTCAATTTTCTGTCATAGGCTGTAGTGTGCATTCCGAACTTCAAATACCAAATTTGAAACAATTCCGGTGGATAATGTTGCTAAAATCACCAAAATACCGAATATAGGGATATACCATTATATGGGGGCTATACCAAAACGTGGACCTGCGCAGACATTTTTCACCTTAGGCTGCAGTATCCATTACGAACGAACGAACGAAATTTGAAACAATTCGGGTGAATAATGTCGCTAAATTTATCAAAAAACCGAATATCAGGAGGTGCCATTGTATGGGGGTAATACGAAAACGTAGATTTGCACAGACAATTTTCTGTCATAGGCTGCAGTATCCATTAAGAACTTCAAATATCAAATTTGAAAAAAAAAATCGAAAAATAATGTCACTAAAATTGTAAAAATACCGAATATAGGGAGGTACCGTTATATGGAGGCTATACGAAGACGTGGACCTGCACAAACAATTTTCTGTCATAGGCTGTATTATCCATGATGAACTTAAAATATCAAATTTGAAACATTTCCGGTGAATAATGTCGCTAAAATCATGAAAAATCCGAAGGGAGGTACCATCATATAGGGGCTATACCAAAACGTGGGCCTAAATAGCCCATTTTCAATACCAAAAATCCTGCAGACATGATATACATGTGAGTAAAATTTTATCAACCTACTTCATTTCGTTCGGAAGCTAGACTTATTTCCACAGACGGCGGGCGGACAGACGGACGGACATCGCTAAATCGACATAGAATTTTATGCTGATCAAGAATATATATACTTCGTGGGGTCTAAATTTCTATATTTCGAGGTGTTGCAAACGGAATGACAAACTTAATATACCCTCCATACTATGATGGAGGGTATAAAAAACCTGATCAATGTAACAAATTTATTTGCAAAGGAAAAAATTTACAAATTTTCATTTGAGAACATCTTCAAGTTTTGTTGTCTGTGAAAGACATACACACACACTCGCACACACACACAAAATGCAAACGAGATAGACGCCAAGCCAAGAGTCTGTTGTGTCTCTTGACCAAAGAAAAAAGCTAGTGTTGTCGTTTGTTGGTTACTACTGGCTTGCTTGATTCTTCATGGCAACATGGAAAACGTGGTCAATACCCCGCCAAACAACAATCGCACCGTGGCGGTTGGGTATTTAACCAAACGACGACGAGTCACTCAGTCAGCCAGCTAAGGCACGACATAAATGTTGAGTTGTCGTTGTTGTTATTGTTCCGCGTTCTTCCCAAACACAAAACGAAAAATTTACTTTTTAACGTATATTTTTTAATGTTTATTTCTTAAGTTGTTTTTTCTTTATTTTTTTGTTTCTTCTGTTGTTCTCTTTGCCACAATTCTTGCTTCTCTGCCGCCAGTGCTAAATTCAATTTGTCGTTGAACTGGTTTTACGAGTTTTATGTAAATTTGTTTCCATACCGGCCAATATCTGCGCATACATATGTTGATTTACATATGGCCAAGCATATATACTCATATGTTATATTGTATATGATTTTTTTATTTTATTAGGACAGATTGCGTTGTTAGTTCTTTGTGTGCGCTGAATATCTTTTTGTGACTTATAAGCCAAGAATTTTTTTATTCAAAAAAAAAGTTGGTATTTTTCTGTTTGTTTATTGCCATTTTTGCCATTTAGCAGCACCAAGAAAGAAGTATGGCGTAATATTTATTTATTATTTTCAATACTCAACGCACAAAATAATAATTCGAAGAAGAAGCAGGAAAAAAAAAACACCCACATGTTTTAAACACCTAGCCATGTTGGCTTCCAAGTGTCAGAGTAACATCCCCTCCCCATCCCTCATGTTCGATGTTATCATTTTCCAATTGGTATTTTATTCGTTGATCTGAACCCTTAAATTTATGTCATACTGTGTTCTATTTCCGAATCAAACTAACCATTTTGGACAGTTATTTATACGTATTGTTACCCTCAGACCGTATTGAGTGAGAGTAGTTCATGGTTATTTGTGTAAAACCCTACATTTTGGGGGTTGTTTTTGCATTTCCTAGATGTAAAGTTAACAACATGGTCGTTGCGTGGTGTATGGTAAAATTTTATTAGTTCATTCACCTGCAAGGAGAGTAATGCGCCAGAAAAGATATGTGTAGTAGAATGACTTAGTTGAAACTTTCAGATTCAAATATTGAAATTATTTTAAAATAAATTTAGTAAAATATTTTCTTTGAAAATGTTGACTTGTGTGAGAGGTATCAGAAGGAATGGACCGATGCCCATCTTCGAACTCTAAGTTAGATAATAACATTACGATGTACCAAGTTTGGATCAAATCCGATACTCCCTTCGAGATTTATCGTGCGCACCAGCAAGCCAGACGGACGGACGGACGGACGGAAATCGATAGACCGACTCCAAATATCCTGAAACGGATTTGATTCATAGAGACCTGGTGTCTAAAAACGTTGTTTCGATGAGGCACTAAATATCTTGGAGAAAACCAACGTATAGACTTTCCCCTTGGCCCTTGTATAGACTTTCATTTGCCAGAGAAGGTGGTATCTATTGACAGCTCCAAATACCAAAAATCGAACGATTCTATTGAATTTTGGGCAAAAAATCTTTCAAATCCCGAATATTGGGATGCAACCTTTTATGGAGTCTATACGAAAACTTGCACTGGAATACGAACGAACTCCAAATAGTAAATTAAACAATTCCGGTGAAAATGTACCAAAAGTCATCAAAATGCCAAATATCGTGGGGTTACCGTAATATGGAGGCTATACGCGTGGGCCTGTAAAGGTAATTATCTGCCACAGAAGGTGGGATCCTCTGCAAACGCCAAATACCAGCTTTGGGAAAATTCCCTTTAATAGTGTGCCAAAAATCATCCAAATTCGGAATATCGATGGGGTACCCTTATGTAGGAGCTATAGGAAAATTTGGTCTTAGATAGACAAGTATTTGCAACAGAATGTGGAACCCATTACGGTATCCAAATACTTAGCGAAAATTCCCTCGCAAAATGTTTTTAAAATCATCTATATACGGAATATGGGGAGGTAAAATGGGATCTATTCCACTTGGGCCTACATGGAAAGTTCTTTGCAAAAAAAAAACTTTTCCGTACACCGGGAACACAATCTCCAGATTTACAGCGAATTTCGTTAAGTGGTCTTCTATTGAAAGAAGGGTTGAAAAAAGCGTGTTCTAATTTTAGATTTTTTCTAAAAAAGACATTTTAAAATGAAACATGGGAGAACATTCATAGGATGACCTATAAAGTGCAAGAAGACCTTTCTTATTGGCCATTTAAGTGGTTTGCTATGAAAGATGACCCTGAAAATGTATTCTTTTTTCAAAAGTACTCCATATAAACCTTCAGATTATAATTTCTTCGGTAATAGAGACTTCGAAAATTTACCCGTAATCTGAATTAATTACTTCTATAATATTTTGTCGTCCGGTGAGATGAAGCAAAACACGACGCTAACAGTGTAGAGATGTTATTGGGATCTGGGAGCTGTCATTAGTTTCACAATACTGCTCGGTATGCATGCGTATACGGTGGGATACAAGGTTGTTGAAGGCCGTTAAAAAACTGGAAAACCTAAATGTTTCCTAGCGCTTGTGGCGTTTTGCAAATTGAGATATTCTCTATAATGAAGAACTGTTTTAAACAATGAAAGAGCAGATCGCATGGGCTTACAATGTGTATTTAATGTTCCAAGATAAAATCTGACATCGTCTCGAAACATCATGCACTATCCGCCTGTGTTAGGTAATGCATCATTGCTATTTTAGCTCATGTTCTCCTAATGGAATCAACAGAGCAGGATCACTGAACACAATAAAAGAGACAGTCTTAGCACCCGAGTAATACTTGGGTTTTCGTTTACATGTCTTACGTCTTTACCAGATATCCTAGCCAATTAATTCATTATTTGATTCAATACTGCTTTCCAATACCTTTGCTACACAACAATACCTCAAATGTCCTATATTAGTGATCCTTTCCTTCTGCCTTTAATTATTTTTCTTATTCTTCTCTAGTGAGCTTGAACTACTGCACATAATTCTACTTTCATTCACCATGTGCACATATACTCATTTCCAACTTCTCTTCTGAAAACCTACGGTTCCAATTAGATTGGTAAATCGAAGAAAACTGGAATTATACGTCATTATACGACCCCACGATTGTCCAATATATAGTGTAAGCCATTGGAGTTTAATTCTGATAAGGACAGGATTGTGTAACATCAATGTTTTTTTAAGTTAGTTTTTTTTTTGCTCCATACCCTATCCATTAATTTTTTAACTGATATAAATTTGTTGCACCAAATTGGATTTTGGTAAGTTAATTGAATAATGCTGTTTCTTAGCTCAATAGATTGCCTTCAATATTGACATGTTTCTTCCCAATGCATATCTACACAATAAAATTGAAACTATCAATCATCAAAACACAAATCAATTTCCAAACTTACCCATAATTCAATACCCCAACTCATGTTGGAATTTTCTGCCGTCTCCTCCGCCAGTTTTACAAATTGTTAATGTAATCCACCAAAGAAGAAATGTATTCGGGAGAGCTGCTGTCGTAATCCCCAAAATTTGGTAGGCTACAGCAGACACTTTTTTTCAATGTTTTGTTTTGATTTAGTTTGGTTTTTTGTTGCAAGCTGACGTTTGTATTTTTTCTCTCTCTCCCTCTCTTTCTATATTATTTGAGGAAGCACAAACAAGTTGGCAACACTGTTATGTATTTGTCAGAATAGCAGCAGCCGCAGCAACAACAAATATTACTGAGCGGCTATTTTATGCACTTAAAAATGAATGACTCGATTATGATCGTTTGTTTGCGGTATTGTCGAGAGCAGGGTGTCAGTCAGCCAGTCAGCTAGACGTTCATAAGGCAAAGAAGAAGGAATACAATGAAAAAACGAAATTCAATTAAATCAACAATTTGTTTGAAGAAAAGTTTAATGTAGTAGCACACAAATACATAAGAACACAAAAACACACACACTCGGGGTCGTCGATTAAACGCGCACTCATACACAGAGACGGAAGATAAAAAACGTAAGAAATGATTAATAATAAAAACCGAATACTCAAATGCAAACAACAAAAACACAAAAGAGATAGGGCATAAAGAATAATTTTAAAGGGGCAGACAGGTAAAATGTATGACTTGTGTGTGGCATTAATGATGGCTTCTAGGTAGGAACATGAAATGGAATGGGACAGGTAAAAGAACGATCTCTCGAATGCAATGAGAAATCAAAGAGACTTCAATATAACTCTTTTCTTTTGTACCACAAAAGTGTTCTCTTTCAGCAGAACTTTATAATGGATTTTTAATGAAAAGAATTTAGCTCTAATATTAGTAAAATGCTACTTGAGAATTTGCAATTAAAATTTTCAAAGTCCGAAGTTCTGTTGCCCCAAACTTTTTGAATCTCCTAAACGTTAGTGCATCACTCTCAATATTCTTCTTCCGTCTCTGTTGACGACAAAAGTAATCAAAAGACGCGACGTTAAAATCCGAAGCTATTTTTTTATGACATCGGGCACCAGAATTGCACAATTCCACTACACTCTCTCTTCCTCTATATTTTTCATCAATAAATCACACAATGCATTTGTTTTTCTCCTTTGCATTTTCCGTGCCCTTTCTTATTATTCATCTATCATCAAATGCTCAAATGCAAAACAACCAAGATTGTTTACTCTTTCTTCGTCTGCTTAGCAGCTTCTTTTCGTTGAAAAATGGGTGTTGTATGTATAGCTCTATTTGTTTAATTAACACTATTCATTGTTGTCGTGTTGTTATTGTAGCTTTCACGTTTTGTTTTGGTTTAATAAACAACGTTTCACTTTTTTGTTATTTACACTCCAACATTTTTTTGCACTAATCAATAGCGATTTCCAGCAAAAAAAGTTTTTGCAATATGTGTAGACACAAAACTTCAAGCAGCAGACTATATTGCAAGGGGCCTCCCGAGCAAAGAAGACAAGAAAAAAAACTACTTGCAGACGACACCGTTTTCCAGTACCATTATTTTTTGTGGTGGATTTTATGTATTGGCCATATTCAATTCCTCATTTTTCACAGGCCCATTCGGCGCACATTGATGTTTCTACTTAATAAACAATTGCTTTGCTTACTTTAATCAATTTCGCACATAACACTGCAGATTCACAAATAAATATTTATGCTGTGGAAATTTTTTTTAACAACAATCACACACAAGTGGGAAAATTGATGATTAATCGGTTATCGGGTTTCGTTTTTCGGGCTGTGCAGCCGTCGGAGGATCTCGTTCTTGCACACTTCGCGACGTTCGACGTTCACGTACAAATAAAAAATTGGATAAAAGTAGGCATACATAGATCGACAAATGCCTATCGTTACTATTCGATTACCGATATCGGCACAAAATCGAATCATTATTTTTTTACAATCGAATAGACTTAAACTCGATTTAACCCGCCGTTTACATACAAGTTTTTTTATGAAAATAAAATTTCATGAAACTAAGCTTAAAACTATTAATGATGAGATAAGGCCACATTATCATTCATTGAAATTAGCTTGAAAACATGAACTCAGATTAAAGGAGAAGAAGGAAAAAGAGCTATATTATTCAACACAGGGAAAACAGGAGTTTTTCATAATTAACGTGTGAATTATATAGATTCAGGTATGTGATGGAAACCTATTCGATTTGTGAAATCGGAATTCGGTACCTATAAGCGATTCATTGAAATGGACAGACATTTCTTTACAATGATTGATGAATGAAATGTCACACTGGCAAGCATAATATATGTCAAAAATATGAAAAAGTTTTTGGAGAAATAAATCGATTTCAGAATGTTTTCTTATACAATGTCTTTCAGAGGTGATTATGATATGTGATTGTCAACAGTTTTAACTAATCTAAATAAATTTTCTTTCATAATTTGGAGTTCAAATGGTAGAAGAATACAGGTAGTCGCATCGACACAGCTGCTGGGACAATTAACTACCAAACCGTTTTTGGAATTGAAAATGTTGAATGAAAAATTATGACAATTTGTAAAAATTTTTAAAAAATTCAACCTCTGATTTGCGTCGTATAAAAAAAACATTTTTAAATCCACTTATTTTTCATAAAACATCTTAAAAATTTTGACATATCAATGTTCCCAAGCGTTGATGCATCTACCTATATTCTTATACCATGATAATAGCATATGCTCTGTTCCAAAACCTGTAAGAATCCACTAGTTTTACAATTTTTTCGATTTCATAAAGGTTATATTATATCGGTTATCGTAGTAATTTTTTTTACATTCTTGCAGTTCTGGAACAGACCAATAACTTTTGGAGCAGAGTACTTGTTATTGCGCCATTGGGGCCAAATGCTTGCTTTCGATATCGAAAAATTTCGATCGAAAATATTTTCTGTATGCTTATTTTAGATAGAAATTTCGATAGATCGAAAATTTTTTGAAAACTGTTCTACCTTTGTTTATGTCCACTTCAAACAAAGCGATTTATGTTTTATTTATTTATATTAACTATATTAACACTTGTTTTAATTTCCACGGAATGTTATATTTCTGCATACGTCCTTTATTTAATTGGCTTACACAAGTATAAAAAATTAATTCTAGTAGTATTCCATTATCAAACATTCGGTTTTCGGTATTTAGTTTGTATCCACACTCTATACATCTTTAACATACGTCCTCGATTGACTTGCAGCCTTCGATCTATAACATTTTGTTCTTCCTTAAATCCAACGCCGGTAAATAAATTCCTTACTTCTTCTTGAGTGAAGAAGTACACCATGGTACCATCTCCGCGAACATAGAAATTATCCTCTAAACATTTTCCACTCTTGAAACGTAGTTGTGCCAAATCATAACGGCCATAGTCACGGAAAAGCACTAAACCACCTGGCTTAAGATATTTATAGCAATTCTCCGCCACATGTTTCATTTTGCCAGGCTCAATGGCAGACAGAACAAATATCAAAACTATTATGTCTTGTGACTCTGGTTCAAACGGCACTTCCCAATTTTCCAATGTCGCATCCATGACAAATATTTCACAACGTTTTTCATCAAACTCTGGATGATTTCTAAAAATGTCTATTGCCTTTGCGGAAAAATCGCAACCGTATACCTTCAGATTTGGTTCTGTACTATACTTTAGTATGGGTAATATAGTGTTGCCTACGCCACAGCCAAGTTCAAAAATACTTCTACTTTCTTGTATATCTTTGTTGGGAGCCAATTCAGCAAACTCTGTAAATAACCAATGACGATCCTTGAAAAATCTATTCTGATGAACACCATAGAAGCAATCCCAAAATTTGTCTGCATCGCCTTTGAACTTGGCTTTGTCTTCGTCAGACATTTTCACGGTGGAGTTCTTTTGTACGGCTTGCAATGCATGTTGTTCTTGCTCTTCGTCCCATTCCACATTATCCCTAAAGAGAAACATAAATAGAATTCATTTCTATAGTTAGATGTTGTTATGTCAATACCAGGCATAGAACTCATTAAACATCGACTTATTTGTTAATATTCTTCCTCCTCCAGCTGGTTTCTTGCGATACCGAGTGAGCTCCAAGTCAGAGGGGAGTATAGATAATGGCCTCTTTGCTACGCTGTATAACAAAAAGTTGCCTAAATTTCTTAAATATTTACCATGCGTTATGGGAAAAAACATCATCCTGATTGGTCAAAAATCTATTTCCAAACGCTGGACGATTTTCATCTTCCAATTTGTCCGAGGAACTTGTGACTCCTACTTCCTTGGGATTTTCGTCGCACATGTTTATTGTTGTTTGTTTAGATATATCATCGATGGCAATGTCGATAGCATCGATACTTTCATTTAAGATGGATATCGGTTGATAGTTTTTTCAATCGATATTATCGGACGCAGTGCCTTTATTAAACAACACAAATGCTTTGTTCCAGACCTTGTATGAAAGAGTTTTTTTCAAAATTGGTTTGACATTTTATTGTCCCAGCAGCTGTTTCGATGAGACTACCTATATTCTTCTACCACGAACAAAAGCTTCACCTTCCGCTTTAGATTCTTGTAGTTTCTGGAAAAATGCACATATAAGTCATATTTAACATATCTGTTCTCTTCTACAATCTCCTGCATGTTTTTTACTATTTTTGCACTTTTATCAATACTAAAAATGTAATCATAGTTAAAAAATTTACGTTCTTCTAATTCTAGGCTTAATTCTAGTTTAGAAAAAACTCTCCGATTTTTTTGAGATTTTTTTTTTTTTGACATGTCCACTATTTTAGCCTGTTTCCGGAAAAAGACTTTTTTCTTAAGAGATGGAGAGGAATTCCCATATATTTGATTCCAAATTTCCGGGTCCAAGACTCAATACGGACTATATATCACAGAGCCATAAATGAGTTATATTCCGATTTTGAGCCGATAGTGAAAACCCCATTGACAAAACCCCACATAATTTTACCCATGGTACAACAAGAAAGTAGAACAGCTTCGTAAAACTATAGCAATACTGAGGCTATGCCCGCTTCCTGTCAGAATTATTCAAATTATATGCTACAAGTTGTTTTCATTTATTTCACATTTTTCCTCATTTTTAAATGACTTAAATAAAGCGAAAGATGAACTAAGTGCCTGGATTTTATTTCAAAAATATGATCTAATTCCATTGCTAATCTGGTTAATATCTTCAAAACGCGCCCCATAATCTATGTATCCTCCAATCATTTATTTTGAAAATATTTTGCTTTTATTTTTCAAAACAATAAATACATACACAAAATTCGCAGAAGTCTGGCACACTCAGAGAAAAATTTAATCAGCTGGTAGCTCTACCTTACCCAAGGTACCTTGACCTTACCTTTTTATTGTTCTTGTTCTTGCCCATCGATGACACCCTGTGCAATTGAAGAATGGGTGCGCTTTTCATTTTTTTGGTAACATATGTTAGAACGCTTTTATTTAGGCACTCCCCTTTTACACCGGCTTATTTTTGGAAGAAAATTATATCAGTCCGCAGGAATATTATATATTAATCGTTAGGAGGATTTTGTAAAAAAGGATGCACTCTTCTGTCAAAAAATTGCAAAGGGTATTATCCTCGCGAGAAATACGAAAAACATTTGTTGATTTTTTCATTAATAATCATGGTCATAAATTTGTGCGATCCAGTCCTGTTGTGCCTTTCTGCGATCCAACTGTATCATTTGTGAATGCCGGAATGAATCAGGTGCGACGAAAGGATGAACCAAAATTATTGTGGTTTTATGTTTTATTTTCCTTATTACATGTCTATTAGTTCAAATCAGTGTTTCTGGGCAAGACACAGCCACCACACAAAAGGGTTACAAATTCCCAGAAATGTGTACGAGTTGGTGGTAAACATAATGATCTGTCAGTTGTTGGGGAGGATGGATATCATCACACCTTTTTCGAGATGTTGGGGAATTGGTCTTTTGGTGACTACTTCAAGGTTGGTTAATTCTTTGATTATAACAAAAAAAGTTATTTGAGTTCTTTTCTTCGATTTTAAGCGTGAAGCTTGTGCAATGGCTTTGGAATTGCTACAAGGTCCCTATAAAATAGATCCATCAAGGCTATATGTTACATATTTTGCCGGCGATAAAGTTTTAGGCTTGCCGGCAGATTTAGAATGTGTTGATATATGGCGAAGTCTGGGGTGTGTAAAAAAACAATATTCGGTTGTGGAGAAATTTATCTAATTCCTTTACAGTTTTCCTAATTCTCGAATACTACCTTTCGGTAGCAAGGACAACTTTTGGGAAATGGGTCTCACAGGTCCTTGTGGACCTTGTACCGAAATTCACATAGATCATAGACCTGATTTAGCTAGTCCGGAAGAAAGGGCTAAATTAGTAAATGCTGGCCGTTCTGATTTGACCGAGCTATGGAATTTGGTATTTATACAATATAATAGGTATAACACACCAACAAATATCTGCTTATATTATATAGATAAGGTAGAGCGAGGAAATTTATTTTATCTTATATTTTTTATAGAAATGAAGATGGTTCTATTACGCAATTACCCTCTCATCATGTCGACACTGGAATGGGATTTGAAAGACTTACAGCAATTTTACAGAATAAATCGTCAAATTACGATACCGATTTATTCATGCCAATATTTAATACAATTCAAAAGGCAAGTAAATCAATGTCATTAAATTAATTTACAGAAAAAAAATTATGCTACCCCTCAATAACAGATATCGAAAGCACCTCAGTACTCGGGTTCATTTCCCACTAGCAGCAACAGTGCAACTTTAGATACAGGCTATAGAATTCTAGCAGATCATGCTAGAATGATAGCAGTATGTTTGGCGGATGGAATGCTGCCGGACCAGAAGTGAGTATTGAAAACATTTATTGTTAAGAACTTATTAAATAATTTTTTTTTAATATGTAGCCAAAAATTAAGACGTGTTCTGCGCAAAGCCATAACCGTTTCGGAAAATATTTTTGTTCATGAAAATCTTTTGCACCATTTAATACCAATTGTGGCAGAAACTTTGGGTTCCGCCTATCCCGAAATACAGAGTAAACAAAACGATATATTGGAGTTAATAAAACACGAGCAAGAAGTTTTCAAAAGCTTAAGAGAGAATTCTACAAAGGCTTTCAGTGAAGTTCTAAGTGAATATCCGGATTTAGAAGATGTTGATTTGATGAAATGCCCTGGTTTTGTACCTGCATATCGTGAATTCAAATCGGTAAAACATACATTTAAGAATAATTCAATTCCCGGCGATTTTCTGTACAAACTCTCGGATACATATGGTCTAACCGAAGAAAATTTCATAAAACTAGCCCAATTGGAAGACATGACATATGATACGATTGGCTATAAAGAGGCAGTGGCAAATGCCAAACAAAGATCTAAGAATTCAATGATGTTGAACGATCATTCGAGTATCAACTACAAAAGTATAGAAAATTCGTTGACAGAATTGACAAAATCCTTGCCAGCTACAGATAATAATCACAAATATTCGTATACTTACAACCACGAGGATAACAAATACATTATACCTGAATTAAAATCGAAAGTGTTGGGAATTTTGTACAATGATGTCAGTGTTAATGAAGTCGTATGTAATGGAGGAATCTCTGACACCAATGACATTGTTTCCATTATAACAGATTCAAGTAACTTTTACTACGAATCGGGTGGTCAGCAATCTGATCGGGGTCATATTGTTGTAAAGTCGATAAATAATAACAATTTAGAACTTAACGTTGTAAATGTAGTTTGTATAAATGATTGTGTCGTTCACATGTGTGAACTGCCTAAAGAACGTTCTCAATTTACATTGGCGACCGGTGATAGTGTGCTACTTCAAATTGATGAAAATCATCGGAAGCGAAATATTTGCCATCACACAGGTAACTATGGAGGGGGTTATCTCAAAACATTTTAAAAACTAAAACTGATTCTATTTTAGCTACACATTTATTAAATGGTGCCATTAGAACTCTATTCAACAAAGTAACATATCAGGTATCAAGTTCGGTAACCAGTGACTGCTGTAAGCTAGAAGTCGGTATAATAGGAAAACGCATAACCAAGGATGATGTGGCGAAAATTGAGGAGCTAATAAGGTAGGGTAAAGAAGTTGTAGTGTCAGAATTCTTAGTTTCATGAAAAGTATTTTGTATATATATTTAGTCGTATCATTTCTTCGGCCTCCCCAGTGAATATTGAACTTTGCAATGCTTCAGATATTTTACAACAAAATGATGTTACAATGATTCCTGGCGAGGTATATCCCGAGACTGGTCTACGTTTGGTGACTATTAATTGTGATAATTTCGATTTAAAATCAAAAGAGCTGTGCTGTGGAACACATGTTACAAACACCAAGGAATTGGGTAAATTTTCCGTGACAAACCTCAAGCAAACAATCGTGCCAGATATGCCTTTACAGCGGTCGCAGGGGAGGCGGCAGATAAGGTATTTATGGATATTAATTTAAAAAATCTAGATTTTTTATATATTTCATTATTTTTGCAGGTCCACAAAGTGAGTGAATTGCTGAAACATCGTATTGATATGTTGGAGAAAGAGTTCAAGACTGATAAAATGTCCAATGCCACAGAAGTTGAGTTGCAAAAGATCCGACATAATTTACTCCACACAGATATTCAATTACCTTACGTGTTTAAAATGGATATTCTGGAACGCATAAACGACATTCTGAAACGTCTTAAGGAATCTGCACGAACTAATATTAAGTATGAATAGAATAGAAAGCACATCCACAAGATTTAAGTTTTTTTTAATTTCAGAGACTTTTTGGATGTTGAAATGCGAAATCTGCTTCAAGAGAAACCTGCTGCTAAACATCCTTATTTAGTACATTACATTTCAAGTTCAGTTTTAATGGAAGAGGTACCACTGCAAAAAGCCACCAAACATTGTACAGACCGTCCAATTTTGGTCATAGCCAAGGCCGATGGCATAGTCAAGGCCAGATGTTGTGTACCTAAGGTAACGAATTTATGGAATATTCCTTATGATTTTTCTTATGTTTTAATAATTTACAGGAATTCCAACGGAAGACTTTAATGCCCAAAAATGGTTGAAGGAATTTGCTTCGATTTTTAAAGCTCAGGTATCCGCACCAAAAGGTCAAAATCCCCATGACGTTTGCAATATGAAAGGCAAGAAAACCTCAACACAATTTGAAGAACAATTAGAAATGGCCATGTTAAAAGCCAACAAATATGCCGAACAATATTGGCCAAAATAGTTTGTGAAATGTTATTTAGTCTATAGGAGTTTTAATTTGTGAAAACATT